AGGAGAAGAGATCGTTGGCTCAATTGCTATGAAGCCCAATGAGAAAAATGTTGTAAGTACTGGTATGGATATATTTTGAAATTAGGATGGATAGATGGATGGATGGATGGATAGATGGATGGATGGATGGATGGATAGATATAGATGGATGGATAGATGGATGGATAGATGGATGGATAGATGGATGGATGGATGGATAAATGGATGGATGGATAAATGGATGGATAGATGGATAGATAGATGGATAGATGGATGGATGGATAAATGGATGGATAGATGGATAGATAGATGGATAGATGGATGGATGGATAAATGGATGGATAGGTGGATGGATGGATAGATGGATGGATGGATAGATGGATAGATGGATGGATAAATGGATGGATAGATGGATGGATAGATAGATGGATGGATGGATAAATGGATGGATAGATGGATAGATAGATGGATGGATAGATAGATGGATGGATAGATGGATAGATGGATATTAGATGGATAGATAGATGGATGGATGGATGGATAGATATAGATAGATAGATAGATGGATGATAGATGGATAGATATAGATAGATGGATGGATAGATAGATAGATAGATAGATAGATAGATGGATGATAGATGGATAGATGGATAAATGGACGGATAGATAGATGAGTAAATGAGTCATCCCCTGCCCACAGCAGGCTGTTTCCTCTTCAGTTTTGTCTGCCTGTCATGCAGGCAGCAGCCCTGCAGTGACTTCAACAAACAACAACAGATTCTATTGTTGACCTTGTCAGTGTCCTCTCCTCCCCTACGGGATGGAGAAGCGGCGCCTGCTGTCTCTTCACAAACACTCCGCTTTTGTAATACCATGTTCTGCACTCTGGTCAAAAAGGAGATCTCATCTCTTGTCTTACTTGTTATTTTCTTTCTTTCTGCTGTGTATTTGATCAGTTGTTGTCTGAAGTATCGCTGAACACCATCTTTTTTTATTTCTGTCTCTCTGCTCACTTGCAGCGTGACTTAGACTTCACCTTTGAGCTGGATTTCAAAGGGCAGCTGTGCGAAGCAGCCATATCCCACGACTACAAGATGCGTTAAGTTTCACTGCGGGGACATTGGTGCCCCGCTGAGTGCAACTCCTGAGCACCAGAGGGAGACAAAGACACTCTCATGACCACAGACAGATGCACAGCGGGACCCGAGACTCACAGAGGAGGAAATTAGGTTTAGCTGGCACCACTGACAATATCAATATTGTTGCTACTTGTATGATGAAGGCAGGATGTTGACTGTTAAGCAATTCTGAATGTAACAAAACGTGTTAAGAAACTGTTCTAGTCTCGATGAATGTTAATTACTGACGTAAGTATATGTGAGATGGAGTGACGTACTTGTGTGTTTTCTTCAGTATTTGTTTTTCCACACTAACCCGGACCTTATGGAGCGACATTTGGCATTTTTAAAATACAGCAATGAGTTACTCTAATGTCCACATTCTGTTACAGTAGAGGATACATTTAATTTTTTAAATGTCATGTACTGTAGCAAAGGATTACCAGTAAAATGATTTATTTATTGTTGTATCAGTTTAGCAATGAAGCGACTGAACACCACAGCCAGGACAAAGAAACGTGTAATGTGAAAGGTAATGTGTTTGCATAGTCAGTGTAGTAGTGGTTTACAGTGCGTGTAAAATAGAAGGTGTCAAAGTTCACGCTGTTAAACTGTTTGGACATCCGGTGTGCTTTGTGTTGTCAGTTCGAGCTGTGATGTTGACCTGCCAATAACATACTTTTCCCATCCTAAATGCCTTGACCAAGTGCCGAAGTGTACCGAGTTTTGTTCCACACTGCTGAGTTTAGCTTCTTACAGTGGTTTCATATGTAGACACAAGCCACTCTTATTCTATTGATTTAAGATTAAGCAGTTCTTCAAATCTAGCCTCAAGCCGTTTAGTCTATGCCTGAGCATAATTCACGTCAAGGAATCAAAGGAAAGCCTGCGTAACTCATACTGTTAATAATGCAGCTGGATCCTACACAGACAACAAAGAATTATTACAAAGGGAGTCAATAAAATATTGATGACCTGCTTTAGTTATATCCCAATATCTTGGCTTCAACCAAACTGACGGATACTGAAAATGAGGTTTCTTCTAGCAAACGTACAGACCACAAGATATGGTTCTTTGGTTTTTATCTCAGGCTCCCCCTTTTGATTCACACTGGATTCAGTGTACTGATGGGGATCTTTTCATTTCCCTGTACTCTTACTACAGTCATTGCCAAGGTGCCCAGTGAAGAATTTATTCAGTAAAGATCTGCAGATATTTTACATATCTGAAACCTCGCATTAGTGCTCCAGATCGCCTCACGCGTCACAAGTCTTGACATTGCCAAATCCAGCCTCCATTCTTAAAACACACAGATGCCCTTGCTACCACATTCTAAGCAAAATGTACAATGTGTGCATATGTTGGTAGTGAATGAAGATCATCATAATAAACTCATTTTTACCAACTAAAAGAAAGCGCAGCATCAAGCTGCAGCGTTGCCCTGTGAGAGCACACGGTTTGATAATTGCTTTGATCGCGTGCATTTTATACAGGATCATCGTGTGTACAGGATCAAAGCTATTGGCACAAATAAGCAATATCACGAGTCATTTATGCTTACAGTTAATTCAAATTAAAGGTTATTTATCTATAACAATACCTGCATCGAAAGAGCACCTTTAGATTCAGAAAGAAAACATATTCAGACAAACATCCGACTTATTAAACGCAAACATGGCGACGGAATAAGTTATAAAAAATCGATTAAATCAGCATGCTGATTGCACATGTATTACTTTTTTATTGTTGAATATATTGTTTCACATATTGTCATGTACTGTAAGTTTGAAAACTCAATAAACTGCAATGTCCAAACATATCCACCAGGTGATGCTGTACAATATATTTTTATTTCATGGTGCCTCCTGTGCTTTTCACATAAACTGTACACATAGCTATTATTAAGTTATCACCATTTCCATTTTTATATACATATGTATGTCTACATTAGAGTAATGTGCAAGATCCTGGCAGTAGTGATTCACTGTTAGTGAGAGTACTTTGTTTGTTTTTTTTACCAAAGCCACATTGTTACAAATTACATATCAAGTTACAGGAATATCACTTTCATAAATACTTGGCACCAACATAGTAAAGTGAAAAGTTGAATAAATATTTGTCAACTGTCTGGTCTCTTGGGAACAAGGGTGTGTCTTTCAAAATAAAGCTCATGTTAATACACAGGTAGCCGAGTAACTTGCAGTACTGCTATAACAACACCTATAATATAAAATAACATCAACAATAACAGCTGTGGGACAAATACTAAACAACATGTTTTGTTTGTTCATTAAAAAGATATAACTGCAGTTCACCAAGTGAAGCAACCATAATATCCCGAAATGTTATTTAACACCAGTTAATCTTGGTCCAAAGACTAAGCACGAACTTAAAAAGCGATCTAAACCTGAACACCAAAGACTTTTCAAAAGTAGTGTTAAATGCAATGTTGTTTGACAATGAGTCGTATGCTACAGTTATTACATCCACCTGAAATGTTTGAAAAAGATGTAAAGGCGAAACATTTAAACACTGAATTCATATATAAAAAGCAAAAACTCCACATTTGAATACTACAAAGATTTTGGAAGATTATTAAATATTGGAAATTTGTGAGTTACATTCAACTGTGAGTAAGTATCCTTCATTTAACTTGAAAAAGAGTGAACTTAGCTTAACATTTGTTCAGTGATATTTACATCTGACCCACGGAGGGAAATCCACATACTAGCTATGACTCGTGTTTCACTTCATCCTCGTGAATAAGTGATTTCTAAACTGTCACTAGTTTGGCAAATCACACATTTATAACAGAGAGCTTTTAATGCAAAGAGTAAACAATTTTGTCATGACAATCAGCACGATATGTTGTCGCTTGCACATGTGATCGCACTTTTACAACGTGTATCTACGTAAAGGGTAGTGCTTCTGTGTAAGTGTCAACTGTTTATCTGTCAGCAGCAGGATCTCTTCTTCTCTGAGTGGATACTGACGAGATGGACAGTCTTCTCCTTTTCTTGGTCTTCCTGCTCTTTCAGAATTCTACGAGACATAATGAGACAAAAATGTAGCAATTTCTAACAGGAGCCTTGATGTGCATCGTGATGCATGAAAATGCAAACGTGCATATGCATTAACTCTGCTCTGTCTTCATCAGTGATTAGTCTGTTCTCGCTATGGGAAGGGTCGTCTGGTGAAACTGTGATGTAAATTCCACTTGCATTCATTTGGGTTTGTTTTGTAAGTGGTTAAGATGTCGTAACAAGTTACTTTATTTGACAGCAAAAATTGCAGACTAGCACGTCAGAGTACCCGTGCTAATAGTGCTGCTATATGCAATGCATGGCAGTGGGTATCTCTGACGCTCTAGTGTTACAGTCGTGGTCTGTGGCTGCTGCTGACACTGTGCATGGACTCCCCCCTTGAAGACTGACAGAAACCACTCAGGATACTTGGGTGCTAACTACAGTACACGTTTGGCTCATAAGTGCTGACGTTTGAGAGATGGTGTGAAGAAACCTTTTTTTCATTGTTGTGTACGGCATGCATTATCTTCCTGTGTAATTTGCTAGATAGTGATAAGGCGCTAGGGATGTTTGAAAAGGTAACCAGTTCAACCAGTCCATGTCCTGAGCTCTCACTCGTGACTTTTTATTTTCCCCAGGAGCAGCTGGCTGATGGTGTATGTGTGCCAAGGACTGAAACCTCCTGTATAACTGTGAGTGCTTTCCATCAGACATATGGCTGCTCGTGCTTACAAGTGCTGGTGTTATCACATACTTTTATTAGACTCTACTGCCTGCAGAACAGGGCTCCCTTTGG